ACATCATTGGCGGAGTGACGCCATTTACTTTTCCTTTCATTACTTAAGCATTATATTTTTCTAAACTAAGTCCACCTTCCAAATACTTTAAGCTTCTTTGAGTGCATGGGGTAGGGATTCGTTCAATTGTTTTCCTTTTGGCATTGTTAGTTCAACCAGTACGTGTAGAAGTAATGGCTTTTCGTTACCTTTGAAAAGGAACATTTGAAACTAGTACGTTGTGCCGTTCTTCTCTTAGGTAGGAAATGATATAAATCTTCCATTTTTAATTTTACCATTCAAAGTCTTTTCAGCAGAAATGCTAATCGGCAAGATTCACTCAACGAATTCCTGCAGTGGTGTGATCGAATGCAAATCAAAAGTCATGGTGTTACTGTCAAATACATCAAAGATATCGGATTTGAAATCGAAACTACAGAACCAGTCAGAAAGGGAGTCGACATTGTCAGTGTTCCTCGAAATGCATTGTTTTCTTGGGATCAGGCACGAAAATCGGTTTTGTTAAAGTAATTTATTTGACATTTTTAAGATGAATTTGTAGCAAGTATGGCAATTAATCAAAAAGCAGTCTTATGCCTCACTTTTTTATGCAGGCTATACTCTGGACTTTGCCATAAGCCTCACTTGCCTTTGTTGGGGCACCATTCAGGATTAAGACTCTTGGTGAGCTTTAAGTTTGAAACGACGTTGCTTAACTTATTTTCAAAATTCATATTCTAAGTACAATTAGCAGCTTCTATACAGTTTTTTTTTTGAGAGACGCTTGATATTTTACTTTGGCATAGTGAAATCCAAGATACTTTAATTATGAAATGAATGCATTTCTGTGTGGAATTTTAAATAGCAATAATACAGCATAGGATTTGCTATCATTTTGGAAATACTGAGTAAAAGTTACATTTAATGGACAGAAAGCAGTAGTGCGATCACTGGGCCTAATTTGGAAAAAATCTGGCCTCGTGCATTTGTTCGCAAGTCATTTGGATTGCAGATGTGAAGTCATTTAGTTGGGGAGTCTCTAATGATTTCCTTTGTACTTACCCGTTCCTGCTGCAGACAGCCTGATATTTTTCTGCTTGATAGATTGTTTTAGGCTTAAGTTCAACCACTGACTAGAAAAAATTTTTTAGAATTACTACAATTAAGTTCTAATCGTATGAGATATATGCTGTCAGTTATGAGCTTTTTAATATGCGGGTAATCTAACCTGCATAGGTTCCCCCACAGGAATTTGTTGATATAGGATCTTAGACAGTTCTGGACTGTTATAGTCGGATAGATGTGAAACTGTTTTACGAAATGCGTGGATTTTTAAATAAATTTACATGCTTCCACGAATTGCTTTGATTTTCTCAAAGTTAACACTAGATTTTTACCAAGCAATTTTTTTCACTTAAGTTATTTCTCATTGAGATATAGTGTCTCTCGCAGTATTTTTTCTTTTAAATTCACTGATTCTTTACCTGTGCCTGTTCCTTTGTACTGTTCAATATTCTTATAAAGATTGAAAGTCATAATTCCTCTCTAGAATAATTTTTGAAATATCTTAACCAGCCATTTTTGTGTTACCACAATTTAAGTAAATTGGTATTTCGCTAAAGTATTCTTTTCATTTATGATTTTTTAATTGTGATGAAATGAGCAGTTGTTCACGGCTAGAGACTGTCATTCTTTTGGTCATCTTACACTTGAAAATGACAGTAAAAACAGTTCCTGGTCCAAGGACCTTTGTAATGGATGCAATATCTTTGTGCAGAAAACTATTTGCAAGAATTTACAAAACAAGTTTATGGGTTTTTTCAAATAGCGCATGGTAGTTCGGGTTTAGGAAATGTTTTGAGCGAGACATTATTGTACGTACGATGGATAATGTCGCGTTGGCTTTAATGCTTTGTTGTCAGAGACTTCTGCCTGATTCTTATTGGCACCCCTACTTTAACGTTCTTCCTGACAGTTTCGATACGCCTCTGTATTTCAGTGAAGATGAGCTTCAAGTTAGTTTTGTTTTTTTGTAATTGTAAGAGAAGTTTATTTTGCCACGAGTTTACCTAAAGCGAGAGGAAAAAATGTACTTATTTATTTTAGGCGTTAAGGCCTTCAACAGTGTTTGAAGATTCGCTGTTACTGTTTCGAAATGTGGCACGCCAATTTTTACATTTTCTGCTTGAAACATTTTGTGTATTGCCTTATCGAAATGCGAAGGTACTTAATTAATTAGTGGAGTTTTTAGATCTTTTATGCTCACTCGGTTTTTTCATTTATACCTTTTTTTCATAATTGAAAAATAATTTGAAGCTGTGCGGAGTTTTACCATTAATTTTCATGTTGTACCCGTCAATTAGCCGTTATTAACTTTAGTTTTCCCAAAATCCTAGTGAAGATTTTTTAAGAAGAAGCAGCAAGTGCAAATGCAAGAACCAGCACTTTTAAACTCTCCACTGACACCAGAAAATTTCACGTTTGATCTCTACAGATGGTCGGTAGCATGTGTTTCTACTCGGGTGAACATGATACCTAGTCAAGATCTTAAAGATAGGAACGGCCACCCAGTTATGGTTGGTTAATGCTATAGTTGGACGATTCTTGACTTTCTTTTTCTTTTTTTAGTTTTTTCTTTTTTATTTGGGAATCAGAGTTGAATCTTTTGTAGGTACCGTGTCTTATCCCTTTACTCGACATGGCAAATCATGAATTAGATTCTAATAAGTCTCCGCCTAGCGTTTATTTTTCTGTTGAAAACAACTGTGCTCGCATCACTGCGGTAAGGAATTATGAATCATTTCAACCCGTTCGAATTTACTACGGAAAAAGAAGTAGCGCTGACTTTTTACTTCACAACGGGTTTGTTCCGGAGTATGAGGATCCGGGGGATACTTACAAATTGAAAATTGGTATTTATTTGAGATTTTTTGCAGTTGTTTTGTCTAGAGCTCATTCAAAGAGATTATCCTGTTTGTCTTTTCTCCTTTACAATTAATTTTGGCAAGTTCTTTTTATACAAGAAAAAATATGATTTCGGCTCTTCACTTGTTTGTAGTGAATACAGACTAGCCTGATTCATATGTGGTTTTTGTAAGATTCGGTGTTGTTTTAGGTTTTTCGAAAAATAGTGGCTTTTATGATGCAAGGATGAAATTGATGCGTGATTACGGGTACACAACGGAATCAAATGTATTCTATTTTCTTGTTTCATCTATAGAACCGTGTGTTAGCGACTCACTTCTGTACTTTGCACGAGTTTTTGTTATTAGCGAGCCATCCGAGGAGTGTCGAGACCAGCTAGAAGATAAGTCTGTCTTGGCAAAAGCTTGGGATTTCCTACGTAAACGTTTCGAGCTTGTCATCATTTCTTATGGAAATCTTGAAAAGCATAGCACGAAAGGTGAAAGAAATTCTACTATTTTGAGGCTAAAGCGAAATGAGGTCCAAATATTGGAACGGGCGCTTCGGTACTGCATTTGTCAAATCCAGAAACTAGAACCAAAAACTGTTGAAGAAGGTTGAGCTGTTTTCATTTTTACGCGCTAGTTTCCTAGAGACTGACTCTGATGACAGTTGAATATTAGAATATTTTTTGGAATCTTGTGCATTATATTTTTAAGCCAAAGTGCTTTCTTGTTGCATTTCCCTTACAAATACCAATTTTGTTATGAAAAGTTGCGAATTTTTGACCTCTTTAAAAATGACAGTGCGCTTCTGTTTTCAAAAATTCTTACTTTTAACTATTATCTTTTCTAAAAATGCAATATCGCCACAATTTAAATTTACTTGATCAGTTGCTTAGTACGGCTAGATATCAGCCAGATTGCATAATTGTTTTTTTATTTAACTCCGATATTAGTCGGTTGTAAAATTAATTCTTTTATAATTTTTTTTAGAAGTTCAAATTTGTATGACATAAGCAGCAAGTATTTAATGAAAGTGGAACTGAATTTCACAACTGAAAATTTGTCTCAAATCCATTATCTGTATGAAGTAGTGCCTCATTTTGGAAATCAAGTAATTGTGTAGTTAGTGGCTTGAACTTATTGTTTACTTCTTACGGACGTGTCCCTCGTTATGTCCCGTATCATGTTTTCTTCTGCTGTTACTTATCAATACCCTTTCATAATTAGAGTGTTGTAGTTAATTGTGCAAGTATCTTTTTTTGTGGAATCAACATTTGCAGCAGCTTCTGCTTGCCATATTTTGATGCATTGAGTTTCATTTTACGGGTATTTCTTTAAAATTCTTTGGTTAATGCGCACATCCCATTGCATAAGGATGGTGATGGATGACTTCTTGATGTGTGCTGGTGATATTATTAATTGCTTTTTCGTCTTTTCCGTAAAACGGTTACTTTGTCCCCGTTTTATTTTATAAGTGCTAGGTAGGATGTCGTCGAGGAATAGTCGTTTTGTATTTTTATAACGTAACCATTCTTTCATTAGTTATCTGGCATCATATCAAAAGTTTTGTGTACATTAAGCACTCAAACCTTTTGTGCCTGCTTTTTTATTTGGCGGACGTAGCTCTCATTTCAGTATGTGGAGTTAATTGGTTCCTGCTCATTCTTTTGCTACTCTCATGACCGGGGTACTCTGGGCTTCAGTATTTGTAGTTGTAGGTGTCTTGTGAAGCTCGCTGGTTCTGTGAGATCTTACACTTTGTTAAAGAGTCCAGTTTGCCGATAGAGGCGACTCATATTTAAAGCTAGCGCTATAAATCAGTAAGGGAATGCAAAGTCACCGTTTTGACTTCAAGATCTGGTTCCCGCTGAATGCTGGCTTGTTTTTTACAGTTCAGTGTAAGTTGGAGGCGCAGTGTTCAACCGCTTTCCTTCATTTTTTAGTACTCTGCCTTTTTCTACTGGTGCTTCCAGCTTTGTTGCCTGGCAAGTGAATAAAATTTTTATGGGTCAAAGATGTTCGTTAGCTTTAAGAAGACGAAGCGAAGAAATTTTTTTAGATCGGTGAGAGGGACATAGAAGTTTAATAAAACAAAAGAGTGGTAAGTGAATAAGAAGGAACATATAAGGTTCTCAAAAGATGCGTGATTTGAGCAAAAGCTCAAACAAATTTGTACCTATTAACACTTAAAGTCCGGAAGGAGGCGCGTTGACGGCGCGCTGTCAACTCCTTTATGACCAGTTTCTCAAGATCTGTTATGTCCATAGATACCGGTCCGGAATAAGTTAGGAAGTCACGGATATCAACTTGGTCATCTGATAGTAACAGTGAACGGCGGCGCCAACCTGAAGAGAAAGTATAAGGCCCACAGAGTAAAAAATGGGGACCGCATAACATTCAACTAGAAAAATTTACATAATTAATGCAAAAGGGGGATATGTTACGTCACAACAGGTTTTTTTTCCAGTTAAAGAAATGAAATTAAAAACCGGTGTACAAAGCGATCTGTGACCATTTTCCAAAATCTTGCCTAATCTGCTAGTCGGACCTCGCGTTTAACTTTAACGCATCTTTTGTTAGAGTGAAGTAAAAAATTGGAGAACTTTTTTTTCTGCATCTTTATCTGCCTTGGTATAGTTTTCTGCAACTTTCCACTGTCTAAGTGTCAAATGCAGAAAACAGAAGTGTTTTCCAAAAGCTTTAACGAGGAGTCCTGTTTAGACTCTAGCAAAGTCGATGAGCCTTTGTGTAACTGGTATTGAGAAGTTGGAGCTCTTTTGGTTTGGTGACCCGTTTTTTCTCAGCTAATCAGGCCAAAGAATTTTGACTGTGATAGATGTGGCCGTGTTTCATTACAACCAATATGGAAGACGGTGCCACCAAATTGAAAGAGAGTCAAAAAGTTTTCTAAGTTGTGCCGACTGAAACAGTTTTCTAAGAACTGTCAGTAAATCCAGGCACAACTACTAGATGAAGCCTGTATTATTAATCTATTTTCACTGAAATACCCGACTAATTTCATATCTTACAGCTTGGTCAACCACCCAAAAACTTCCAGACCAATCTTTTGAATCTAGTACAGGCTTGATATTTTCATAAAATCCGTAGATTCCGCCGGTTTTTTATTTACCTCATCTTAAGTAACATTCTCTGACAAAACTGAATTATTCTAGACTGCACTAATATAGCGACAACATTGCAGCAGTTAGTCTGAGACTGCTTGTCTAAATTGAAATCGCTCTTCTTTCGCTCTCTTTGAAAACGACGCTACCACTCTGTAAGTGTCCAGTACTTTTCATTACGGCGCCTTTACTATGCTTCTAGTAAATTTTGATACTGCAGAATTCTCGCTTTACGAAACTGCGGAGGGTCATCATACAGCGGAGTGATCAGAGAAAACATTTACGCCGTCCTAATGAACTTACTTAAAAAGTAAAGTAACGTACAAATAATATACTCGCGAAGAAACATCGGAGGATTTGAAAGACTTTCAAGCGGGATAGGATTATTACGGAAGTGTTCAAGAAGTTCCACTACTGATCGGAAGCGAAGTTGATGGGCACGACAGTCGCCACTTGGGAGCATATTAATACGAACGTGCTAAAATTGAGTTTTTTTTGTGTTTCTGTAATGAAAATTAAAGATGTAGTCAAAGGCTATTTTAGTGTATGTTTACCATAAGAAACATGAGCCAGTTTTTATGGTACAATTTATCAGTTACGATATTTTCAAACGGTCGCATAAACAAAACTAAGAAATTATTGCTCTGTGAAGTTTCCGCATCATTTGTACAAAAAGAATCTAAAAATATAACTTCCTACAGTTTAAGAATTTTCTACTATTACTGAGCTCTAATAAAAAAAACTACTGTAACTGGAATCTGTGTGCAAAACAGCAACACAACTTGACTACCCACAAATTAGAATAAAACCTTACGTTAGCCTTCCCACCGCAGTTGAATGAAAGCACAAAGTCACCCGGCCTAGTTTCACTTTGCCTTACCAAAAATAAGCCATGACCGTCCACTCCATTATATAACAGAAGCCGTTCAGAGGCGGTTCGGGATAAATGTAAATGAAACCATGGGAACATGCTCAGTCGCTGAATATGCAAACTTGCAACAGTAGTAGTTGGGCCATCCGTGAGTACTGTATTCACCATTGCTGGGACATTGCTTAGCGACCTTAACTAACTACTTGTGGTAATGA